TCCTGGTATCTGAGGCAGGAAACACAGCCTTATATGGTGTTTTTGGGGTGGTAATTATGCTAATCTCCTCTCACGAGCAGCTGGATAGAACAGGTGAATTTACGCAGCTCATTTACACACTTTTCCTGAAGATAGAAGAGTTTGTTGAATCTGACGTGACATGTTCGTACGAACCCTTTGTACGAACAAAAGTAAGAAAAATTTAGGATAAAAATACGAACATGTTCTTGCATGAGGCCCAATAATCTGAGCTAAATAATCTAAGACCTGCAGTGTGAACGTCCATTCATACATTCATTATCTTCTGCCTTATCCGAAGTCGGGTCGCGGGGGCAGCAACTTGAGCAGGGAAGCCCAGATTTCTCTTCCAAGTCTTCTGGGATGGCTCCAAGACGTTCCCAGGCCAGCCGAGACAGTCTTTCGTGCGTTTCCTGGGTCTTCCTCGGGGTCTCCTCCCAGTTGGACATGCCTGAAGCACCTCCCTAGGGAGGCATCCAGGAGGCATTCTTACCAGATGCCCAAACTACCTCAACTGGCTCCTCTCAATGTGGAGGAGCAGCGGCTCTACTCTGAGTCTCTCTCGGATAACTGAACTTCTGCCCTATCTCTACGGGAGAGTCCAGCTACCCTGTGGAGAAAACTCATTTCAACAGCTTGTATCTGTGATCTTGTTCTTTCGGTCACTACTCAAAGTTTGTGACCATAGATGAGGGTAGGACCTATGATCAGTAAACAGAGCTTTGCCTTACAGCTCAGCTCCCTCTTCACCACAACAGACCAGCACAGAGTCCACAAAACTGCAGAATCTGCACCGATCCGTCTATCACTCTCACGCGCCATTATTCCCTCACTCGTGAACAAGACGCCAAGATACTTGAACTCCTTCACTTGAGGCAGAACTTCACCTCCAACACAGAGAGAGCAACCCACCCTTTTCCTACTGAGGACCATGGACTCAGATTTGAAGGTGCTGATCCTCATCCCAGCCACTTCACACTGCAAACCGCTCCAGTGAGAGCTGAAGATCCTGGCACAATGACGCCAACAGAACCACATCATCTGCAAACAGCAGAGACAAAATCCTGAGGCCACTGAACCGGACACCCCGGAAATTCTGTCCATGTAAGTTATAAACAGAATCGGTGACAACGGGCAGCTGTGGTAGAGTCCAACTCCCCCTCTGAAGGTAATGCAAACCAAACTCTCACACCACTTGTATAGAGACTGAATGGCCCGTAACAACAGACCCACAATCCTATACTCACGGGTGCTAGACAAGTGAACATAAGCCCATTAATATCCCTATTTCCTGATTCACCTCATGCCCCGTCTGAAGACCTCTGGCTCCTCTATGGAAGGCGTGCCCCACAGTTTGAAAACACCTGATGTAGAACACCAGTTAAACCCTTCACTTCCAGTTTTGAAGAGAAGATTTTGGGCTGAACATCTGTGGAAACTTGTGTGTGTGTGTGTGTGTGTGTGTGTGTGTGTGTGTGTGTGTGTGTGTGTGTGTGTGTG